TTGTTACTGTTTTTGGCATATCGAATATGTCACGGGGAGCTTGCCAGGCTCTGCCATGCGGGCGAGATAGTCTTGGTAGCTTGCTGGGCTCTCCGAGAGGGGTGAAGAACTCAAAGGTGGAGGAATCGAACTTAGGTCAGCTGGGTTGGCTGCGTGCAAGGCAAATGCCCTACCCGCTGTGCTATCACTCCATCCAAAAAAAAAAAAAAACACAAACAAACAAAGAGTAAATATTTTAAATGCTCAAGTACTATGTACAGGTATGACATCTTCAGCCAAAAGTTATGAAATGATGATAATGTCATATTCACTTTCTCTCTTTCTTTTTCCTCCCTATATTACCACACCTAGTCATGCTAGGGCTAACTCCTGGATCTGTGCTTAGCGATCACTCTTGGCACAGCTCTTGGAGGACTCTCTGGGATGCTGGAGATCGAACCTGGGTTGGCCACAAGCAAAGCAAGTGCCTTCACTGTACACCATCTCTGCAGCGCTAACACTCACTGTCTTTTAAGAAAGCTAATACCCAGCACTACACATAGCTCCAAAGTACTGCCAGGAGTAATCCCTGAGCTCAGAGCCAGAAGTCGGCCCTTATATTATATGATTAAGGGGGCTTTCGTCTCATTTATGCCACAAATTGCACCTTAATTATTCATTCCTATAATTTAACCAGTCTTTTCAGGTTATTCCTGCTTAAAGTCTATCCCCTTTAAAAAAAATTTTTTTTTTTTTTTTGCATCACACCTGGCAATGCACAGGGCTTACTCTTGGCTTTGCACACAGGAATTACTCCTGGCGGTGCACAGGGGACCATAGAGGATGCTGGGAATTGAACCCGGGTCAGACTCGTGCAAGGCAAATACCCTACCTGCTGTATTATCGCTCCAGCCCCTAAAAACAAAATGTTTGAAACTTCATTTAAACACCGTGATATACAAAGTTATTTATAATATAGCTGTTTCAGGCACTCAATGTTCTAACACCAAACCCACCATCAGTGTGACCTTCCTTCCACCAATGTCCCACCCACCCCCAAGCATGCCCCCTTCGCAGGCACCAAATAAGTTACTTTATATTGCAGGTTACATCAAGCATCTCACAGCGGTGTTACTAAAGTCAGTGTCTGAGGATGTCCTGAGCTAGTTGGTGCAAGCCGGGCCTTCTGTGTTACTGCTTTTGCTCCCTGAGCTTGGTGGGCTTATGGATAATCCTCCCATCTAGTATGCGGTGCTCCTACAGGGCTGATGATACTGAAAAATCTGGAGGCATCACGTGGCCACAGGTGCTCCAGCGGGAGCCGGGACCCGAGATGAGTCGGGAGCTGTGGAGCTGGGCCATCCGTGCGCCTGGAGAGATCAGCTCGGGCAGGGAGGATGCCAGGTGTGTTGGGGTGCGGGGCTCCCCCATCCTGGGCAGGCCCTGAGAGCCAGTCTACCCGGGACGGCTCAGCTGCGCCTCTCTCTCAAGACTGATCCTTACGCCACTCACTTAGAAAGGGCCTGAGAAGGGAAAACAGAACTGATTCCTGAGAAAGTAGGAAAAAAAAGAAAGTAGAGAGGGAAACTCCACTTGCTTCACAATTTTATTAGCACTGGCCCTACTCCTATCTTTGTTCCAGGAGTATTAGTTACTCTCGTAATACCGGCTCTGCTTCAGTTCTTATTAAGAACAAAAGCCAAATGATGCGATGAAATAACCACTTTGGAATCTGAAATGGAGTTTCACTTTCCAATTTTTCCCTATGCATAAATTGAAAGGTAAAAAAAAAATACAGTATTCCATTCTTAGTTTAGTATCGCAAACTAACTTTAATATATTTGATAAAATAGGTTCTAACTGTTAAAGAGAAATCTGTGCCATCTTTGAAAGTCTAGGGACACCCCTTAAGAATAAACTTTAGAATTGTTCTCAAATTGCTAGTTAAACACACAAGCAGGCGAGTTGATCGGTTAATAAAAGAGACAAAATAAGATTTCCTGAGAAATAAAAAGTCAAGGCCAGAAAAAGAGTACAGGAAACAGGGAGCTTGTCTTGTACCTGGCTAACAAGGTCAATCGCTGGTACCCCAGTGGTCCCCTGAGCCCTGCCAGGAGCGATCCCTCGGCAGGCGCCAGGAGTAACCCCTGAGCATCACTGAGGAGCTCAAACAACAAAGCAAAACAAAACAGAAAATGGAAAGTCAAAACAGGCCTTTTGTTTCTTTTTATCTCTCCACTAGTATCTCCCTGTCTTGTTTCATTATACTTGCAAAACCAGCCAGTAAGTGAAAAACAAACCTTAGACCATCATGTAAAGATTCTGTAATCAGGGATCAGAGAGATAACACAGCGGTAAGGCACTTGCCTTGCACGGAGGCTATGAAGGCTCCATCCTCAACATCCCATGTGGTCCCCCAATCCCACCCAGTGATTCCCCAGTGCAAAGCCACAAGGAACCCCAGACCACAGCTGGGTGTGGCCCCAAAACAAAACAAGCAAAAAAACTCTTCAGTTACTACCTCAGACCATACAACAGAGGAAGTAAATGAAATAAACACATTTAAGTTACATTAGCACTGTAGCACTGTCCTCCCGTTGTTCATCGACTTGCCCAAAAAGTGTTGTTACTGTGTTTGGCATATCGAATACAGGTAGCTTGCCAGGTTTTTGCCGTGCGAGTGAGATACTCTCGGTAGCTTGCCGGGCTCCCCGAGAGGGGCGGAGGAATTGAACCCGGGTCGGCCCGGTCAGCCGCGTACAAGGCAAATGCCCTACCCGCTTTGCTATCACTCCAGCCCTAATAAAAAGTTATCACGGTCACACTCCTCCCGTTGTTCATCGATTTGCTCGAAGGGCCCAGTAACATTGTGAGACTTGTTACTGTGTTTGGCATATCGAATACGTCATGGGTAGCTTGCCAGGCTTTAATAAAAAGTTATAATAATAATAATAATAATAATAATAAGTTACATTATTAGAAATGAATTACATTTTGATGATAACCTTTTCACAACTTCCTATAAAAGTATCTTTAGAAAGTTTCTTTTAAGGCAATAAAGTTAAGTAACTTCTCTTCCTAAGTTAAACATCCCCTTAATTATAATGTTTCTTTTTTCTTCTCTTTTTTTCCTCTTTCTTTCTTTTTTTTTTTAATTTTGAGCAAAGCTCAGGGCTTGCTCCTGAATCTGTGCTCAGGGATCACTCCTAGCAAGCTCGGGGATCAGAGGGGATGCTGGGGATCAAATCTGCTGCTGGCAAGGACGTGCCCTACCTCTGTGCTATCACTCCAGTTCTATAGTTCATTATTTAATAAATGGGAGCAGTCCTTTATTTTACAGCCAAACTGTCGCTGTATTAAGCAGCTGAGATTATTAGACCCTTGAGCACAGGGCCGGCCGCAACCGTGAAGGGCTAAAGTCTTTGGTTATTGATCCCATTTCCGTGATAAGCCTGAATACCCTCCCCGGAAAGCCCCAGCAGCTGGCATCTACAGAAGGCTGCATGCAGAGAAGGCGGGCGTGGCTGCAGGATGACCAGCTAGTACCCGGTGCCACAGGAAGCTGCCCCGAGGTGGATGCAGGGCCAGGGCCCTGGGGTACCCAGCAGGGACACCAGCTTGCATCAGGAGTAGCTCCTGAGCACTGCCACGTGGTCCCCACTCCCGAATCAACCAGGGAAAGGTCAGACAATGGAGAGCCAGGGCCCACAGACAGGAAACTCCCAAGGCGGGGCCCCCCACGCAGGAGGCTGGCGCTGCTGCCCAGGCCCAGAGGGGTGGCGGGAGAGAGAAGAAACACTCTTGCTCGGGGCAGGCCAGTCTCTCCAAGAAGCAGAGGAAAGAGCCTTCCAAGACCAGCTGGATGGAGCCGTCCTCAAGCCATTAGGACCCGGGCCAGGGACTTCCTGGCACTCGGTGTGCGAGGGTGAGAACTCCCGTTCCCGTCTGGAGAGCGAACAGGACGTCTCTGCGTGTGCTTGAGACAGAGGGATGACCCACACGCAGGTGCAAGGGCAGCAGAGGCCGAGTCCAAGTCTAAATAAGGTCTAAATATGCATGCACACGCGTGCACGCACACACACGCATACCCACACGCGTACACACACGCACAAACACACACACGCATGCACACACACGCATGCGCTCTTACACACACACTCACACACACAGTGGCTGTGGACCTTATCACGGCACCCCTCATAATTGAACCAGCAGCCTGGAGGTGGGCGGGGGGAATGTCAGGGACCCCAAAAACTCAAAGCAGGACCAGAACGGAAAGAATCTCGGGAGCTGACAGCGAGAACGCATTGGTTACATTTTCCTGAAATGATTGTGATAAGCGGAGTCAAAATCTGAAACATTTTCCTTGCAAGAGTAAGGATACAATCACACATTTTTAAACGAAGCCGCCATGCCCTTGGGCTGAGGACACAAACAGAAATATCTCTCCTTGCCCCTAGAAAGCTTTGAGATGAGACAGGGATTTCAGAAGTGGGGGGTGGGGGGTGGGAATCTTTATCTTTTCAATTATCCCAAGGCGCACACATGATTCGGCCTTGTCTGTTCCCATCTCTGAGCAGCGAGCAGTTTTCTTGTCCGGATATTTACTGTCCTAGCTAAATGAGATTTCTCTGTCGTGTGGTTTCAGTACTTACTCGTGAGATTCATCTAAAATACCAAAAACTTATCGCTTTTAAGTTGCTTGTAGTATGGACATCATGTCTATAAAACAAGCAATCAGACAGTTTAAAAAAATGTTAGACTCCTTTAAAAAGACTGCATCTCGATACAGAACCACCGGAGCTTTCATTTCTGAAAAATTCTGATTGAATTTCATTTAAAAGCGAGGTACTCACATTAGTTTGGCCTTCAAACAGCGCTTAAAGTGATTCTTTATATAATAATCATTTCAACGTAAGCACACTTTTTTTTTTTAAGGTTCTACCTTAAAGGCTTAAGTTGCTGCCATTTTGCCCAGATCCCCGCCCAGAACGTTAAGGAAGGTGGTTTGTTTTACTTACCATCAGCAGACAGGTGGGCGTGCCTGGAAAAGGCTTTATCTATTTCTAGAAAAGCCAAAGTCAAGACCGTTTCCAAGTTTTTCTCCTTAGGAAGCAAATCCCTTTGTGGGAGGGGGAAAAAAAAAAAGCTCTGAAAAATCACTTTACTGGTTTTTTTTTTGTTTGTCTTTTTTAATCTTTTGAATTTTCTCATCTTCCTCCAGGGCACGTGATGACCTGCATCCCTTTCCAGGCCTTGGAGATGGCGAAGCCCAAATACCCAGCCTTAAGAGATTAACCCCCACTCCAACCCCGGAGGTTGAACCCCTTCATGTTAAATGAAGTCACTGACTGCCCTGGTGGAATAAGGCAAAATGCTCACAGCTGGACAGACGGACAGCATGAACAACTCTACCCAGGAGACAAGTATTAGTCACCTGGCCCTAATGGCCCACGGTCCCTTTGATTGTAGCAGGAGCACAATTCTGAAAGGACGTTACTCATTACAGTCAACACTAAACTCTTTCAAGAGAGTCAGGACACCCACACTGATGCCAATTCCCTAAAGCTACTTTCAACAGATCATCAAAGGCCTCTACACTGCTTGGAAAAAGGATAAGCGTGTGCTGTCCTCCCTGGCAGCAGCTGAGATAGAAAGGTCTCCCCTGTACTTGCATTGTTAGCACCCAGAATTTTAATTTGACTTCACCCATTTATTCTTGTTTGTTTGTTTTTGCTTTTTGGGTCACACCCGGCGATGCTATGGGGTTATTCCTGGCTCTGCACTCAGGAATTACTCCTAGCGGTGCTTGGGGGACCATACGGGATGCCGGGAATGGAACTCAGGTCGGCCGTGTGCAAGGCAAACGCCCTCCCCACTGTGCTATAGCTCCAGCCCCATCCATTTCTCCTTGGCTATTTGACTACTCCGGGCTCACTCCTGGAGGTGCCACACGGACCAGGCCAAAAGCAAGGCCAGCACCTTAAGCCCCATACTTCCCCCGCCCTGGCAAGAAAACTATTTTAGGCTGAGATCAACTGAGGCCCTTTGAGTTCACTGGCAACTGTACCGCTTTCTTGGGGTCTGAGAAATAGGACGAATGGGAAGACACTTGCCTAGCACGCAGCTGACCCCGATTCAATCTCTGGCACTGCATCTGATCCCCTGAGCACTTATGGCAGTGATTCCTCAACGCTGACCAGGAGTACGCCCTGAGCACTGCCAGGTGAGGATCTCAAAACAGAACAAAAAAACCAAACTCATAAAGAAAGTGCATCTCTCCCTTAAGTACCTATAAAATGAGAGGTGTTTCCCAGAACGAGGGCTATTACTGAAACTAATCACTCTATCTAAGTAAGCCACCGGTATGGCTGGCAAACACCTATTTAAAAAGCGTCATGTGACTCACCCTCTCTTTCCTCTCTCCTTCAACCACCAGGACCCAATCCGACTCAGCAGGTCAGGACATAATACATGGGCCTGAGAGATAGGACTGGGCTTAACATGCTTGCCGTGCACAAAGCCTGATCCCTGGCACCCCATATGGTCCCCTGAATACTGCCAGGAGTGATACTTGAGCACAGAACTAGAAAGATCAGAGCTTAGCCAGGTGTGGTCTTGGAACAGAACAGAACAAACCAAAACACACACATACACACACACAGGAATTCACCCCTCTAACACAAAACCCCAAGGACGGCAGAGGCACCTATGTAAGAAAGTTTAGGTATTAAAATGCCGAGGGTTGCAAATGTGCACCCCAGAAGGACTAATATATCAGGAAAGATCAGGACAGATAACAAATATCTGCTAGCAGCAAAAGTGCACCAGGCAAGTATAGAATAAGGTCGTTTAGGGTCTTTTAAATGCAGGGACAAGAAGGGCAAAAATAGACTAGGAAGTTGCCAGGATTTCTCTGGGTTCCTGCTGATTGGTTATGTAAAATATCCTGGCCTCTGATCTTCAGGTACCTACTGAATATTGATGTGCTTATTAACTATTCTTACTCATAAGTTTAAGGCATATTATTAACTATTCTTAATGTGTCACTTAACAATGGTTTACCTGGCCAGAGACACAGACCAGTGGGTAGGGCACTAGTCCTGCACCTTGGGTTCAAGCTTGGAACACCATGTGGTCCCTAGCACCACCAAGAGAGACTCCCAAGGGCAGAGCCAGGAGTAACCCCTAAGCATCACTGGGTGTGGCCCCAAAACTGTAGCACTGTAGCACTGTCCTCCCGTTGTTCACGATTTGCTCGAGCGGACCCAGTAACGTCTCCGTTGTGAGACTTCTTGTTACTGTCTTTGGCATATGAATACGTCACAGGTAGCTTGCCAGGCTTTGCCATGCGGGTGAAATCCTCCCAGTAGCTTGCTGTGCTCTCCGAGAGGGGCGGAGAAATCGAACCCGGATCGGCCGGGTCGGTCGTGTGCAAGGCAAATGCCCTACCCGCTGTGCTATCGCTCCAGCCCCCAAACTAAAAAAGAAATAAAAGAACAACGGCTCCCCGGCTGAGATCCCTGGAGGGAAAATGATACTACCTTGAATAACGGGCCTGTGCGACCACTGAAGGCCTCCCAGAAGCCCTAAAGCTTGGACAGTCCATATGTGTGCTTGTCTGCCTCACACATGTTCGTTTGTCTCATCTCTGCCACTGACTCTGCTGGACGAGGTTGAGGCGGCAGGCCGACTGACATTATCTATCTGGCCCCACCCAAAGATGTAAGGGGTGGCATGAAGAGCCAGCACACTCGCCTGGCAGAGCCACTGAGATCTCAAGAATGTTCCACTAACTTGTCTTCACTTCAAGGCCCATCTTCAGGAAGGTGACACGTAGGCTGACCCCTTCCTCCCCAGCAGCCCAGCCGCAGAGGAACGTGGCTGACTGCTGCGGCCGTTCCCAGTGGCTGCCGGGGCCAGATGGGGTGGCAAAGGATGTGAAGAGTCCATGCTGGTCAGGGCTGGAAGCTGAGCTGCCCACAAGCAGAGCCCGCACTCCTTGGCTCCCACTTCATGGCCTGTTCCCTGTAGAAACAGCTCCTGTGACTGCACAGGGCAGGTGTTTCTCTCAGGACACGGAGGTGGCATCATCTGAGTTGCTAATAAAACTCTTTCTCAACCATCATGTTTCTCAACAGCCTAGTGCCTTGGGTCAGCAGTAGGCTGGACTTTGGTGACAAACACCCCCCCCCCCCCCCACACACACACACTCCACTCCACTCCCTTTCCCTGGAGATCCTTAAGTCCCTGCACACTCCCAGTGGTCACCCATCAGTGGACAGCATTCAATAGTGCTGGTTCCAGGGGCTGGAGAGATCATACCGTGGGGATGGCGTTTGCTTTGCACATAGCCAACCTGGGTGCAACGCCCCACACCACATTTTGTCCCTCAAGCTCCACCAGGAGTAGTTCCTGAGAGCAGAGCCCAGGAGTATGCCCTGAGCATTACAGGGTATGGCCCAAAATTAAAAAAAAAAAAAACAAAAACCAAAAAACTAGTGCTGGTCTTAAAAGTTTCCACTGTACAAGCTTGTGTGAGCAGTGGTTGACACTTGGGGTGTGAAGCTACCCCTTTCACAAGGCTCAGACAGAATGAAATCCTCCAAGCCTGCAGTTCCCAGGACGTCTCAGGTGTTGTTACAGGGCAGAGGACTGTAATTAAGTTTTCATCTTCCTAATCCGTCTGATGTTAATGTGACTATTCGACCCACCCTACAAAACACCCCAGAGGGGTAGGGGGAAGGTTCTCACAGAAGCAAAGGTTTCTTATCCACTTGCTTGTTTTGGTTTGGGGCCCAGCCCTGACAGGGCTCTGAGGGGCTAAGTGTCAATTCTAGCTAGGTCTAAAGTCCTGTCCTAACTCTCCCCTGCACTTAACGGATTATCCCTCAAACTGTGCTGTTTGCCAGTTGAAATGGTGACAGGCAGGTCAAGCAGGGTGGATTTTTTCTGCTGCTATTATTTTGGGAGTCACACCCAGCTGACTCCTGGCTCTGTGCTCAGGGCTTGCTCCTGGCAGTGCTCCGAGGATGCTGGGGTTCGAACTGGGTCAACCACGTGCAAGGCAAGCGCCCTCCCCACTGTGGCTAGGGCTCAGCATTGTGGACTGGGTTCAGGGAGTCGCTGGAGTCCGTTTCTGCCATGGTGAACTGAGGATCCCACCACCCCCAGGCCTTCCCTCCCCGAACTTCCACAGAATGTGCTCCCTCACTTCCCCAGTACCCACAGGATGCGGTCCCCCCACCTCCCTGCCCAGTTTGGTACCCAGAATGTGCCCAGCTTGGTACCCAGGATGCGCTCTCTGGCATCCCCGTCCCGCGGTACCCCCAGGATGCGCCGTCCGCCCCACCTCCCCGCCCAGTTTGGTACCCAGGATGCGCTCCCTGACCTCCCCGCCCCCGCGGTACCCCCAGGATGCGCCATCCGCCCCACCCCCCCGCCCAGTTTGGTACCCAGGATGCGCTCCCTGACCTCCCCGCCCCGCCCCCCCGCGGTACCCCCAGGATGCGCCGTCCGCCCCACCTCCCCGCCCCGTTTGGTACCCAGGATGCGCTCCCTGACCTCCCCGCCCCGCCCCCCCGCGGTACCCCCAGGATGCGCCGTCCGCCCCACCTCCCCACCCAGTTTGGTACCCAGGATGCGCTCCCTGACCTCCCCATCCCGTGGTACCCACAGGATGCACCATCCGCCCCACCTCCCCGCCCCGTTTGGTACCCAGGATGCGCTCCCTGACCTCCCCGCCCCCGCGGTACCCCCAGGATGCGCCGTCTGCCCCACCTCCCTGCCCCGTTTGGTACCCAGGATGCGCTCCCTGACCTCCCCGCCCCCGCGGTACCCCCAGGATGCGCCATCCGCCCCACCCCCCCCGCCCAGTTTGGTACCCAGGATGCGCTCCCTGACCTCCCCGCCCCGCCCCCCCGCGGTACCCCCAGGATGCGCCGTCCGCCCCACCTCCCCGCCCCGTTTGGTACCCAGGATGCGCTCCCTGACCTCCCCGCCCCGCCCCCCCGCGGTACCCCCAGGATGCGCCGTCCGCCCCACCTCCCCACCCAGTTTGGTACCCAGGATGCGCTCCCTGACCTCCCCATCCCGTGGTACCCACAGGATGCACCATCCGCCCCACCTCCCCGCCCCGTTTGGTACCCAGGATGCGCTCCCTGACCTCCCCGCCCCCGCGGTACCCCCAGGATGCGCCGTCCGCCCCACCTCCCCGCCCCGTTTGGTACCCAGGATGCGCTCCCTGACCTCCCCATCCCGTGGTACCCCCAGGATGCGCCGTCCGCCCCACCTCCCCGCCCCGTTTGGTACCCAGGATGCGCTCCCTGACCTCCCCGCCCCCGCGGTACCCCCAGGATGCGCCATCCGCCCCACCTACCCGCCCCGTTTGGTACCCAGGATGCGCTCCCTGACCTCCCCGCCCCCGCGGTACCCCCAGGATGCGCCGCCCGCCCCACCTCCCCGCCCGGGTACCTACAGGATGCGCGCCTCCATGTGCGTGTGGCAGAAGTCGGCGGCGCCGGGGCCCCCGTGCCCGTCGAACACGGCGAAGTAGAGCACGTCGTCGGTGAGCTGCGCGAAGTCGAAGCGGTCCTCGTTCTCCCGGCGCTTCCCGATCTGCGAGGCGCAGCCCACGCGGGCCAGGCTCACCTTGGGGATGGGCTTGCCGTACTTGATGCTGGGCGGCAGCAGGATGGGCTCGTCGATGCGGTTGTCCCAGATGCCGAAGCTGTCCCAGGTGGCGGGGCGCCCGCTGCCATCGGGGTCGAAGCGCGAGAAGCGCGGCGCGGAGGTGGCGCGGAGCCCGGCGCAGGGCGGGTGCCCGTCGGCCCGCGGCAGGCGGCGGCTCAGCAGCGCCCTGGGGCGCACCCGCGGCCCGCCACCCCTGACCAAGGTCAGCAAGGCGGCCGTGGACATCCCTCGGGGCGGATGGTGCAGCTGCGGGAGGAGAAAGGTACCCGGCGTCAGTCGTTCCCAGGACAGGGTCCCTCGGCCGCCTCTTCCCAGTAGCCCAGTGGCCCACTGGGCCGACAGGGAAAGTCTCACTGCCTGGGTCGATTCCGTGACCGCGAGGATGAAAATAGGGTCAGGGAACCTGACCCCACCTATAGCCCCGCGGGGAGATGGGCTGTTGGGGTGTTTAGGCAGGTAGACAGGGAAATGAGACTTAGGTCAACAAAACTTCTGGGAAGGAAATTTTTTTTTTTTTTTTTTTTGCTTTTTGGATCACACCCAGCAATGCACAGGGGTTACTTCTGGCTTTGTGCTCAGGAATTACCCCTGGCGGTGCTCAGGGGACCATATGGGATGCTGGGAATCAAACCCGGATAGGCCGCGTGCAAGGCAAACGCCCTACCCACTGTGCGACTGCTCCAGTCCCAGGAAGGAAAATTTTAAGACTGATCCACTCTATGGATACGGGAAAACAAAGACCTGATAAGACCCTCAACTGACCCCGAGGAGATTGGACCCTCCCCCTGAAGTTCCTCTCCTCGAAAACCCTCAGACTTCTCCTTTGATTAACTTTAAAGATTCAGCCCTGAGAAGACGCCAGAACTTCTGGATCAAGACAACCCTCGGAAGAGTCTACAGAAGCCACCTTGAACAAAGGAAGGGCGCACAGATGCTGCCCGAGCCCATGTGCTGCTTGTGCCCGCGTGGCCGAGCATCTGCGGTGCCTGAGCACATGTGTCACCCGCATCTCCCCTCTTGAGAATGCGGACTGTCATGCTTTCCTGTCTAGCGCTGGGATGTGTGTAGGGGCTCTCTCTGCCCTTGGAGAAGCCGGCGTTCTCTCCTGAGCGCGTTACTCTCTCTTTCTCATTCTCGCCCCTCCCACGCCTTCAAAAACCCTCCACATAAAATCTGTTTTACGTCACTGCTTGTCTACTCCTGAGATTCTTTTCTGCGAGGCAAGACAAGAACCGAGTAACCCTGGGTGGCAGAGGCGGCTCAGGAGAAAGTGACCGTCTTTCTCTCCTCCCGACTCACGTGAGCCACCCGTGGGGTCCACCTACATCGGGAGTAGACCCTGATATTCTGGATTTTTTTTTTGGGGGGGGGACTAGGTGGGGTCACATCCGTCAATGCTCAGGGGTTACTCCAGCAAGGCAAATAATCCGGCTGGATTATCACTCTGGCCCTGGATTCTAGATTATTTTTTTTTTTACCTGCTTTCTGGAGAGGCCAAACTATTAATGTAGCAAAACTAGAAAACGTCAGTGGAGATAGTGTAGCAGCTAAGGTGCTTGCCTGGCACTGGCCCACCCTGCCTCCATCCCAGGTACCTGGTGTGGTCCCCCTAGCACTGCCAGGAATGATCCCCGAGCGCACAGCCAGGAGTAAGGCCCCCACGGGTGCAGGCGCCAACCAACCAAACAACAGCAAAGAGCACAGTGCCGAGGGCTTCCTCCTGGCTCTGCTCAAGGATCATTCCTAGCGGGCTCGGAGACCATATGGGACCCAGGGACAGAGCAGGGCTGGCTGTGTGCAGGACACGCATCTGAACCCCTGCTCTGTCTCTGAACCCCAGCATCCGTGCTTTTTCTTCCTTTCACCAAAGGAAAGGAACCTATTGCTCTGAAGAAAAGTTCTTTACCAATAACAAAATCTCTTAGGCGTGATTGAAAGAAGAAAAGTAACTCGCTAAGATTTCTGAACTGACAGGCCAGAGGTACAGCGTGGGGGCTACTGAGCTTGCCTTGCACGCGGCTGGCCTGGTTCCATCCCTGGGCCCTGTATTTGGCCCCCAAGGACCGCCCGGTGCTACCTCGTCCTTCCCCCACCAAACAAATATGAAAACAAAATCTCTTAACTTACTCGACTTGATATACTACACGACTGTGGTTATGGGACCGGGTTCATGCACGTTATTTCTAGAGGCAGAAGGGTCAAGATGTGTGTGACCTCAGGAATTAAGGGGCAACTGCACCAGTGACCAGCAGTCACACCACACACACGTGCACTAACACCTGTGGCTCTCCTCTTCCACAGGAAGCACATACAGTGACAAACTAGGCCTTGCAGTCCAGGGAAAGAACCAGGTTCAGTAACAGCTATGTGCTCAACCCAAACGTTCACGAGACTTCTGCCGGATTCAGCGGCCAGAGGCCTTCCCCTTCGCCAAAAACCCGTAGAAATGAAGACCAGTGACTTGTAAGCAAGTAGAATGCAGAATGAAGAAAAAGCTCCCCCCACCCACCTCCCAAAAAAACCCTTTAAAAGAAGAAAAAGTTCTTTACAAGAGTGACAATTAGAACATCAAACGTCTAAGGGTCAGGGAAACAGCTCAAAGGGCTACTTACTATACACGCTTGGCAAGACAGAGGTCTGGGTTCATTAACCACCATGCCCAGACTAGGAAAGTCTCAGAGCACTGTTAAGGTGTGGCCCCCAAAACAAAGCCCCCAAATGCAAACACCTACTGATCAGTTTTGGGGCCACACCTGGCAGTGGTCCCCAACCAATCAACCAATAACATAGCCTTAATTCCCAATCAAAATAAAAGAGAAGAAAAAACGGATATGAACTGAACACATAGCATTATGGCACACATTAGATTCTACTAGCAAGAAGGAGCTTCAAAACAGGTACTAAACAAAAAAGTAAAAGAGGATTGGAGAGACAGGACAGAGCTTTCAAAGAAAAAGAAAAAAAAAAACCCAATCCTGTCAACACCTTGATCTCAGACTTTTGCCTCCAGAACTGAGACCATGAACAGTGGCTGATGTTTGTTGAAGCAGCTGACTGTGGTCGTAACCTTGAGCACCTCTGGGAGATGGGTCTGACCCAGGCTCAGTTCCCAGCACTCCATAGGGTCCCCCAAGCCCTGCCAGGAGTCACTCCTGAGCACCCCTGGGTATGGACCCCTCCACCCCCCACAAAAAGAAATAACAGTACCTGTGTTGAAATCCTCAATAAGGTCATGTAAGCAACATACTCCATTGATCAAAAGGGGAAGAAAAAAGTCTTCTCCTGAGGCCCAATTTTTTCCAATTGTTTTCTATTTTCCAATTCAAAACAAAAATGTGCGTTGACAGTTATAGAAACAAAGTATTTCACAATGCCTTTTCAGCAATTCTGATTGTTGGGGGGGGCTGGTAAATTCTAAACAATAATGGTGCATCTTTTGTAAAAATTATGAAGGTAATCAATATAGAAAAGAATTAAGTGGAAATCATCTGCCTCACAGGCATTGGGAGGGATGGGAGGGGGGTATATTGGGGTTCTTGGTGGTGGAAAATGAGTACTGGTGAAGGGAAAGGTGTTTGATCATTGTATGACCGAGACTTAAACCTGAAAGCTTAGTAATTTTTCCCACAGTTATTTAATAAATAAATATAAGAGAAAAATAAATAAATAAAATTATGGGAAAAAAAGTAAGGTGGAGTTCATCCCCAATTCAATCAGCTAATCAGTGGCTGAATAAATAGCATTACTCCTACATAAAAAAAAAAATGTGGGTTGAGGAGGAGAACTCAGAGCACTGCAGCACATGCTTTGCACAGCTGAGGCCCACGTTTGGGCCTGGCACAGTCTAACTCCCAAGCACCAAGCTGGGCATTGCCCTTGGTGCACGCATGACCTGCTGGCATCCCCCCACCCCACACCTCCCATGTTACTCACAAAGTTACTTTAATCCCCTATAATTTTCTCCCCACACTTTTTTTTGGTTGAATCCAAGAAGATTTGATTAGAAAAACCGAAGGACGTTCTCAGTGTGAGAGGGAATCTTGAGTGGAAAACCAATGATACTCAAATTCAAACACATCCAAAAAAGTCTGCTGTCTTGTGAAGAAATAAGCACCTGCAAAGATTTCCTTTTTCATCACTTCTGCATGATTCTGTGAACTCATTTCCTGTCCCATTCCCTCAATATTTTAATTGGTTAATCTGACACTGAAAGGCTCCAAAACCAAGATATTGCGGGGGAGGAGGGTCAGGGGAATTGGACCCTGATGAACTATTTTTTATTTCTTTATTTTGCTGTATGGGTCACACCCACGGCTGCTCAGAGGATCCTCCTGGCTCTCTGCACTCAGTGGTTGCTCCTGACTAGAGCTGGGGAGGGTGCTAGCACCCTGGCCCCTCCTGATTAACACATCTGACCAGCACGGGGAGGGAGATCTGAGCCAAACCTTCACACGGACAGAAGGTGAGGACCAAGAATAGGCCTAGAGATTGTGCAAGGGAAGGAAGCGAAACCCAGCACTGCGTCTGCCTCTGAGCCGCCACCAGGAGGCAGGAAGCGGGTCGGGCTTGCTGGGAGCCTTCAAAAGCACCCACTTGATTTCGTTTTATTTTGGCTGGGGGGACCACACCCGTTGGTGCTCAGGGACCATCACCCCTGGTCGGGCGCGCGGGACCAGGCGGGGTGAGAGATGGAGCAGCGTGCAGGGGATGTGCTGGCTCTCGGGCCCCGCATGCCTGATTCCAAAATAAAGGGAGAGATGCTGACCGGTCGCCGCCAGCACCGTCTGTGCATCCTGTTCCTCTGACGACCATTTTCCAGTCCCCCGGTAGCTCCAACACCTCGGACTTTATTTTTGGAAAAAGGGCGGCGCTCGCGGCCGTTGGCAGGCGCGGGCGGTGGCTCGCGGGGCGCGCTCGCTCCACGCGGAAAGCGGGTCAAAAGGACAGCGGGTTATCAGCATTGCCAACACCGGTGCCAGCCTTGCTCTGCGCCTCCCGCCGTGCCAGGGGAAGCCCGCTGCGCTCGTCCTTCCTGGCCCGGGATTCCGGGGGGGGCCCAACGGTGGGGGGGCTGGCGGTCCGGCTTCTGGGTCTTGAAGGTGGTCGGGATCGCTGCCATCCGACACTCGTTTTTCTGTGTGTTTGCTTGTTTTTCATCCTTCCTGCCGTTGCAATGAAACTGGGACACCAGGAAGGAACCGCTGCTGTTTCCCAAAACCGTCGGGTCACCTCCACTTGGCACGCGCGCGCACGCGCTCCGGGTGCAGCCGGGGGCCTGGCTGGGGGGCGTGGGCGTGGTCCCTGAGGCCCCCCACCCCACCCCAAGTGCTCATTGCTCCGTCCCGGCTCGCCCACCGTCCCCGGCAGTGCTCTCGGTGCCCGGGGCCCGAGAGGGGCCGCGCCAAGGCCGCGGAGCTCGGGAGCGCCCGCCGCCAAGTCGTCGGGCGCCGTGCGCGTCGCGCCCCCTCTTTGTCGCCCAGCCCACCCGCTCTCTGCGCTCCTGGCTGCAATCGCAGGGCGGCGGCCGGCACCCCCCCGCGTCCCCGTGCTGCAGGCCAGTCCCCCGGGGGGGAGGGCAGCTCCCGCCTGGCCGGGTCCGGGTCCGGGCACCCCGTGGCTCTCCTCCCGGGCTCCGCCGGCGCCACGTCTCCGAGCCCCGGGCCGCGGCCCACCGGGCTCTGCCTCTGGGGTGGGGGGACAGGCGCCTACCACTGGCGGGGCAGCACCTCGCGGACCTCCGAGGCCCACCGCGATGGGCAGCATCCCCCCAACCCCCACCCCGGAGGGGGGATCCCAAGCGGCGCGGACTCGGGTGGGACCAGATTCCCGACTCGGGGTCGGCGGGAGGAGGAGATCCCAGCTGCAGGCGCCGCCCCTGGGCGCCCTCCTGCGCAGACGACCCCTCCCCCCGGGGGTGACCAGGGTCAGCGCGCTGCGAGCCCCCGCCTCGACAGGACCCGGGGAGCGATTTGCAGGCAGGGGCCAGCGGAGCGCATCTCCTCCGGGGCTCTTACCTCCTGGCGTCCCCGGGGAAGCGCTGCCCTAGCTCATGCAGGGCGGGAGAGGGGCCCCTCGGCCGGCCGGTGAGGCTGCCCCCGCCGCAGCTCCTGGCCTCCCGAGGAGTGGGCACCGGGCTCGGCCACCCGCGCCCCGCCGCCACCGCTCGGGAATGTGCCGCTCGCTGTAGGCCAGATGGAGAGGGGAAGTCTGCGCCCGCCGACGGACGCGGGCTCCAGCCAATCGGCGCGCGGCTGGGCGGGTCCCCGGGCGCCCGGGAGCCAATCGGCGCCTGCGCCGGGAACGAGCCTCCCGGCGACGGCTGTCGGACTTGGCTGACTTTCAGCGGCGCGCGGCAGAGCGACGTGGCTGCGGGCCAATAGCGGCCGGCGCTGACGCCCCGCCCCCGAGAAGGCCCGGGCGCGCCGGCCAATGAGAGGGCGCGGCCGCGGTGGGGCGGGGCCAGGAGATTTGGTACCCGGCCAGTGGGATGGGGAAGGGCGTGTGCGTGTCCCTCGGGCCGAGGGGGCGGTCGTTGCGACAACTAGACGGCCCAGAACTGATCGCCCGCGTGTGACCCGGGCGAAGGGCTTGAAAGGCATCTGGGTTTCGGTGCCGTTCCTTTGAAAACTCGCTGTCACCCGAACTGGGTCGGCTCGCGCTCTGTGTCCACCGAGCTGCTCGGTGCCGGGATCCGGGGGCGGGGGGTGCAGGGGGGTCGGGGGACGAGGGGAGGAAGGAAGAAGAGCAGGAAGGCAGAGGGATGAATCATATCGAGGAAGGAAATAGACAAGGTGTGACTGCTGAAAGCGAATCGGAGAGGCACAGCGCATAGGGTGATTTTTTTCGGAGATAAGAAATGCAGAGCCCTGGCCTGGGTGTCGCTCTGCAGTGGGTAGAGCCCTGGGCATGCATGTGTAAGGCCCTGGGTTTGATGCCTGGACACTGGATGCGGGGCGCGGGGGAGGGCAGGGGAGACTTGAGAAAATTGCTGGCGGACTTGTAGGTTCTTCAGGGCTTGGACAAATAATTATCAGACGGACGGGCCAGAGGAAAAATAAAAGGGGTTTACTGATAACCTTGGAGTTCCTTTAAGGGAGTTTATTGATGACCTCCTGCAAACTGTGAAGTCAGCAAAGCTGAGCAATGCCTCTAATGGTACCAGCGGGATTGTTTCATATATATACATATATATATATATGTGTGTGTGTATGTGTGTGTATATATACATATATATATATATTAGAGTACCATTACATATCCCAGAGTATGTTTTACCCTGTCGTGAGGCACGGGGATATTCATTCTAGAGATTCTGCTCCCCTGGCTTGGGGGCAGGGAGGACACAGTGCCTGGATTGAGGTCAAACTCAACGCAAGGACTGTCATCCACCCACCTGCACTCTCTCCTGGCCAGGAATGCCACCTTTACAGAGATTGTAATAAGAAGGTGAAGGGCCACTGTACTGTATTAAGAAGGAGAAGGGGCAGTGAAGAAGAAGGGAGGAGCAAACACACTGCAGGTGCCAGGTGCTAAGCTTCTCTCCCAGAAGGAGCTCTCCCTTTGTCCATGTAAATGTGTGTTTTTTTTTTTTTTACAGGTAGTCCCCTGGGCTCAGGGAGACCAGCTAGAGGGGCTGAGTTTATGCTTGTGCTTCTTGGCACTCCAGAATGTGACCTCCAAATCACAAAACCAAAACAAAAAAAATAGTAAAGCACCAGGTAACCTCCCTGAAATGAATGTTTTACCAGAAACATCTGGGGGTGGGACATGTTTTTTTTTTTTCTTATCATAATAAGAGAATGTTGTTAGGTTTGGGTCTTGGGATAGGGTGGCGGGATTGTAGGGCCCTGAGGTGCTGGGATCCAGCCCAGGTCTCCTACATGCCAGGCATGTGTTCTAGCCCTCTGAGCCATCTCTCAGCCCTATCCAGGACTGATTGATTTATATTATTATTCACCATGAGATACACAGTTACAAAGTTGTTTATGATTGGGTTTGGATCACAGTGTTCCAACACCCATCTCTTCACCAGTGTACATTTCCCACCGCCAATATCCCAAGGTCCCCTCCTTCCACCCCTACCCCAAGTCTGCCTCTATAGCAAGAAATTTTCCTCTCTCTCTCTCTCTCTCTCTCTTTCTCTCTCTCTCCCCCTCCTCTGTATCCTTTTGGGCATTATGGTTTGCAGTACAGGAACTGAAAGATGATCATATTTGTTCCTTTACCTACTATCAGCACTCAATTCTTGTCCCAAGTGACATTTCCAGCTATCATTGTCCTGGTGGTCTCTTCTGTATCCTAACCACTCTCCCTCACTCACTTGTGGCAAGCTTCCAGCCATGGGCCCATCCTCCTGACCCTCATTTCTACTGTCTCTGCTTAATAGTCTCCTACTATGTTTTTTTTTTTTATTTTTGTTTATTTTTTGCTTTTTGGGTCACACCCGGCGATGCTCAGGGGTTACTCCTGGCTCATGCACTCAGGAATTACTCCTGGCAGTGCTTGGGGGACCATATGGGATGCTGGGAATCGAACCCGGGTCGGCCATGTTGGCTGCGTGTAAGGCAAACACCCTACCCACTATGCTATCGCTCCAGCCCCTGTTTTGTTTATTTATCCCACAAATGAGTGCTATCATTCTTCATCTGTCCCTCTCTTCCTGACTCATTTCACTCAGCATGATACTCTTTATGTCCGTCTTTTTAAGGCAGATTTCATTTTTCCTGGTCTCTATGTAGTTTATCATGTAGCTGTACCGTAGTTTCTTTATCCAGCTGTCTGGCACGCGGATGTTTCCAGATTCTGGCTATTATGAATAGTGCTGCGGTGAACATAGAGGTGCAGATGGCGTTTTTGTTGTGTGTTTTGGGGACCCCAAGGTATATTCCCAGAAGCGGCATTGCTGGGTCACAGGGAAGCTCAATTTCTAGTTTTTTTCTGAGGAATTTTTAAGAGAATTTTTATGCTGAGAGTACAAGAGGGCCAAGGAAATGAGTCTGCCAGCCGTGCCCTGGAAGTGACGGCAGTTTGGGGTGGAGGTGAAAGCCGGGCTTTCACCTGAGGTAGGAGACGAGCCATCGCAGATGGCATCCTGGGAGACCCGAAAGACCCATCAGCACAGATCTGGGGACAGCGCACGACTCAGACGGGTGAGGCAGGCCGACAGCAGACCACGCTGTCCGGTCTTTGTATTATCTTGCATTGAAAACAGAACTGGTAGCATTTTTCACATTTGCTGTTCACATTCTTCCCCTTTTCCTTCCTTGTTGCTTTTGCTGAAGTCATCATTTCGGCTGAAGCACTCTCTCGCTCTCTCTCTCTCTCTCACACACACACACACACACACATACACACACACACAAATACTTGGCTGTGGTTCTCACACACAAAGTGCTCACATACTTGGCCACAACACTCCCCAAGGTTTACCCTTTAGTTGTGCTACCTATGAGCTTTGTGTGTGTGTGTGTGTGTGTGTGTGTGTGTGTGTGTGTGTGTGTGTGTATGCATGCGCGCATACTCCGTTTGAGGTGGACAGTCATGGTTGTGTTGCTCACCAGAGGTGGCGTTTACTGACTGGAGTCCTGACACATCTTTCTGGTGGAGGGTTTTCCCAGGACTGACCAGCACAGCGGCTGGATCAGGCAGCACTGCCATGGGCACTCATGCATATTACATGTGACACCAAGGATTTGAACTTGTGACTCTGCATCTGCCAGGCCAGCAGTATCCTGAGAGACTGTGCTCTTCTGGGCCTGCGTTATCCTGCAAACGGCATGGTTTTCTAGGGAGGCTTTTAAAGTAAATGAGTGAAAAGCTCTGGCTCGGATGTTCAGTCACTTTGGCTTTTGTGTAGAGTCGGGCGTATGAGGTGATTGGAAGACTGGGCGGGGGCTTTATCGGATGATAAAGTGGGAGAGAGCCTGGCTGACACCGGTGACTTCATGAAGGAAGAGGGTTGAAGATTTTAAAAGGAAACCGCTAAACGGAAGATTTTAAAGGGTCGATATTGCAAAGCCAGCACTTCAGGTATGCTGGTCCTCGGGCGACTGTTCTGAAGCCAGTTCATTAAATATTCTCATAGAGTAGAATTCTCCCACCGATGGCTCACGAGCTCACGAATCCTGGGAAGGACACAGGATTTCAATGCTGGATTGGGATTTAACTTGAACGGGCAGGCTTCTTGGAGCTTTTTTTTTCTCCTATTTTAAAATTCTTTATTATTAAAATTTTTCCAGTGGAACCAGTATTACAATTTTAGAATTTCAGTGTCATTGTAGCACACCAACGACCAGAATGCAGAGATGAGATGCATCCCTATTCCCTCCTCCGGACATAAATCACAGTCACAGTGATTGATGTTATCTCAAGGTTTCTTTCCCAGGGTGATTATCTCGTCTCTTGCTTTGTTCCTTTATACTCTACATACGGGCAAGAACATCTAGCGTTTTTTTTTTCCTTGAATTCATTTCACAACCCCCTTTAATTCCCTCCAAGTTGCAGCAAACTGCAAGATGTCAACTTTCCTCATAGCCGTGTAGTATTCCACTATGTGCATATACCACTCTGGGTGGGTGGGGGACGCTGTTGGCCCTCTCCGAGCCTCCCTGGCAGTGCTCAGGGGCTATTCTGGCTCTGTCCTCGGGAGTGACCCCGATGGTGCTCAGGGAGGGACAGCAGCTGCTCCTATCTCTGAGGACTGGTCCCTTCCTCTCAGCTCTCCTGAACGGGCATGCAGGTAGAGGCGGCCCTGCAATCAGGGTCTCGCTGTGCAGGCATGCAGGGGTGTGGCCGCTTGCCTCTCTGGGGGACTCAGCTCCTTTTCTTCAGCACCGCTCCCTCTGAGGTGGGGGTGTGTAAAATGAAGGTCAAGGTGACGACAGGACTTCTATCCACAGGCGTTGGGCCTGGGGGCCCCCTGGAGCCTTGCTCGAAGCAGATCAATCAGCAGAGCTGAGCACGGGGAGCAAAGTACCCCACCCAAGCACTCCCTTGGAAAGAAACCAGTTTGATCCAGAGTGGTGGTGGACCCCCAAAGCCAGGGGCAAAACCCTGTCCTGCAGGCAGGGAAGCTGGGTATGACCAGTGCCAGACCAGGAGTATCGGGACGGCTGGAGAGAAATGAAGGGGAGACCCGGAAGGGCCCCCAACACCCGTTCTCCC